GAACCAGTGTTTATCCAAGTTACTTACAGGAGCACGGTTGACTCTGAGACAGCTGCATCACCAGAGTCCCACCCGGCCTGCATGGAAACTCACAGGATCTGCATTCCTGGAGCTCCCCACACAACCCAACTGATCCAAGCTCTTTTTACCAGCTTGGGGGGGGGGGCTTGTGAGTTTCAGGGGTTCCCTGAGTCTTCTAATCCTCCTTAGCCCTGCAAACTCCTCCCTCGAGGAGGAAACACCTACCTGACTGTGTTGACTCCGGATACATTCCAGGAGCAGAGGCTGCAGTGAATGACACTCTCCGAAGATGGAGGAAGACATAGGCCTCTAGAAACTGGAAAAGGTTGGTTGTCTGGAACCTGAAGAATGAACCAGCCCTATCCATACCTACCCCTTTTCCAGTGAGTCTGACTTCTGGTTTATGACCTCTGGAATTCTAGGGCAGCAGATCTGTGCTGCTTTGAGTCACCGAGGGAGAAGTGACTTGTCACAGCAGCAATAGGAAGCTATTCTCCCTGTGTTAGGTCCAGAGATGGAGGTGGGGGAGTAATCACATTCATGTTCTAGTTCCTGCAGTTCACTGGGCCTTACCCCAATTTCCTCTGTACCATCCTTTTCAGGCCAGGAGGAATGCCTAGGCACCCCTGGGACACAGTGTGGCTCGAAACACACAAAATTCAGCAGGAAGAGGGAAAATCTCTTGGTCCTTTCTAAGAGTGGAACCCTTCCTTAGAAAGGGCAGCAGTCCTCTTTTGGACCAGTCAAGACAGATCAGTTTCCCTCAGACGTCATTTGATCCCAGGATATTGGAGCACATTAATTTCTTCTGAGAACGGCTTGGGTGTGAGGTAAGATGGGCGTTGTTGCTAAGTGGATTCAGCCCCACTACAGAAATGAAGTTCCGGTTGCAGGAAGGCACTCTGCACCTCACACTAATGTCTCATGGCCAGAAAGACAGGGAACCTAGTGTGGCTCACACAGCACATGCCACATACTCACCTGTCTGGCACACCCCCTCTCATTTAAGAATCAGAAGCAGTTGTATGGCCTAGCAAGCATTGCCATGAGTCATCTGGAAACGAGATGAAGGTGCCTTACAACAGACCATTTATCTTACCAAATACTGGCAGAGCTGGGGTCTCTGGCCAGAGAAGAACAGGAATATCACAAGGAACCCTGCAAGGCTCCCCATAAAGTCACAGGCAGAAGGAGGGGGGCTCACACCCAGCAGCAGTGTGGCCCATGTAAGCTCTGTCTTTCAGTGATGGAGCCACCTCAGAGGTCAGTCAACCCCGGGACCACTTGACCACCATTGCTGTCACACCCAGCTGCATGGTCTGAGGCAGAGCCCTCGAGGACAAAAGCCATGGAGATGCTGAGGAGCCTCAGGATTCAGAGCTCTGAGCTCTGCTCTGTCCACGGATCAAAGAAACAGACAGAAGACTTCCCTTTTCCCAGCTGAGCAGGGGCTCTGAGCACCCCAGAGGAGTGTCGAGTAGAAGCAAAACACTGCATTTAAAACCTCAACATTCAGCTGGGCTGTGGTGGCGCACGCCTTTAATCCCAGCACTGGGCAGGCAAAGGCAGGCGGATCTCTGTGAGTTCAAGTCCAGCCTGGGCTACAGAGTGAGTTCCAGGAAAGGTGCGAAGCTACACAGAGAAACCCTGTCTCTAAAAAACAAAACAAAAACTCCTTCAAGAGCTCTTATGTTTGAAAAGGAAGTTTGATGGAGAGAACAGAAAGCACCCCCCAAAAAACCAGGGTGTTTATGCAGATGTAGACGTGAGCCCTGGCTGGTCTGCTTGTGTGGCACCTGTTTACTCCTGAACACTGCTGGTGAGGGAATCTGCTCTGCATGGTGCAGTGAGAGACTGAAAAAAAAAAAATGGCACTGTGTCCTCCTTCCCTGTCACAGGTGGGGCCCGCTGGGGTCTGGAGAAGCCAAGGGTCTTTGTTCAAAATTTAGTCCCGTGCCTAGAGGTTTGAAGATGCCAACTCTTTGAGAGTTTTCTTTGGGGATGAAATACATACTTTACTAAATCAACAGATTACTAAGCATCTGGTGGTATGAAAACACAGAACCAAAACAAAACAAATCCCAAGAGATGTCTTTATTTAAAAATTCCTCTAACCATGTGCATATGTGGCTGGGCCACCTCCGTGTTACCAATCTTTTAAGTCCTGACTACAGAAAGATTATAAATGTCAGATTTTATGAGGCCATGGAAAGGGGGATGCATTGGCTCAGATATTCTAAACCATCGAATGTATGGAGTCCATTATGCTGATCAGTGTAAGACCTGTCCAAACAGCCGCGTGCAGAGGACGTTTAAAAGAATAGAAAAGCATTCCTGACATCATTCCATATTGACACTTCCAGGACAGATGGGCCAAGAGACCGGATCTGGTTTCTAGCCCCAGGTAATTCATTCTCAGCCCAAAACACCTTGTTCAGAGCCATGTGACCTGGGAAAGGAGCCAACTTGAGGTCAGAAACTGAGGAGAGCCAGATGAGGGAACAGGCAGCACCTGGCTTTCCAATGTCATTGACCCCAGAGATGCCACTGACCCCAGGGCAGCCCTCCTTACCCCAGAGCAGTCCTTCTGACTCAGAAGGACTAGGGAGACAGGCTGTTCTTGCTCCTCCAGGAGACTGAGGCACAGGCAACTCAAGGTTGTCCGTGGGGACCCTCCAGGACTGACAGCCAAGGATCCTCAACTTCATCATATGCATGCATTTGGTAAATGTTGGAACATGGCTTTCATATAAGGGGCCTTATGTGGAGGATGTACTGTGATACCCGTTTTATAGATAAATATGACATGGGGTATCAAAATACTCAAAGCTGAGGGGTGACAGAATGAAGTTTGAGTCCCCCCCACCCCCCTTTGCTCCCACAGCCACTTACTGTGTCTTCACCCCATTGCGGAATGCAACTTAATAGGGACAGTGATAACAGACAGGCAAAAAGGAGGCCTGGCGTGTGCTCCCTCCCATACGTGTTCTGGGAGTTTGTTGTGGCAGCTTAAGGGCCAGATCTTGTGACTCTGGGAAGGAGGGACAGGGGACTTTCATGGTCCTGTGTTCACGGTTTCTTGGGATCTAGAACTGTTTCTGCAAATACTGTTCGTTGAAACTCCAGAGGCCTGAGCAGTCTGGGGGCAAGAATAGTGGCTCCCTTGACATCATGGGCACATGCTGAAGGCCTTCCTCAGCTGGCTAGAACCAGGCAGGCACCTGAGAGGAACGGGCACCTGTAGGAGTGTACACGTAGCACAAGGCTCCCCCAGGTGCCCTCAGCCAGGACACCGGTAACAGCCTCCAAGAAGGTCCTGAAAATAGCTGGCCCCATGCCCACCCAACCTTATCTGGAGGAGCTGGGGTTTCCAGACAGCTGCAGGAGGTGGCAGACCCTAGCAGAAAGGACAGATCATTTCTGGAAGAAAAGCAAGGTGGCTTTGCCGGCCCCTGTATCTTCCCTGTGCCGTCCAGGGTTCTCGTCCTCACACCAGCCCTTCCTCCGTACCCAGACAACCATGTGTCTGAACCACCGGTCGGCCCCAGATGACATCCATGTGCTGGATGCCGAAGCTGGCCTCAGGGGGGAAGGTCTGTACTTCCAGCACGTCATCCTTCACTTGTGTCCCCTCTCTCTCAGATCCAGGTCAGTTGGGTATCAGGCTTGGGGTGAAGGGCTAATGTGGTGGCCATGTCCAGGTCCAGTGTCACTAAGAGCTGCATCTGCCTCAGACGTCAGCCGCAGTCAGTGGCCCAGGTCCTTCTCTTCCTCGGGAGAACTGGACTCGCCCCTCTCCTTGCTCCATCTCTCATTCAGAGGAGAAGCAACACCACATCCCCTTGGCTCTCATCATGGTTTGAGAACCGGAGCCATTTCCACCTTACGGTGTTCCCGAGTTTGCCGCCGAGACCTTCCGGAAGCACCCAAACTCTTGTTAACCATAGTCTCATCTACTAAGCTTACTTGCTCATAGAAATAAGGAGACGTGATAAACGTGCCGGCTAACTCTATGATAACGCCGTGGGCCCACACAGGCCTGGGCGGAGTGCAGGTGTGCAGTGAGCATGCATCAGGAAGGTGATAAGAAGCCATGCAGGAGCACTGGGATGTAATGGAATCAGTGGACCAGTGGAGTCCCCGGACAGCGGGATGGGTGCTGTGCCCAACTCTGCGGGACCCTAGCTAGGCTTAGCCCTTGATAGCCTTGACCCTTGCTCTGCTCTAACTACGCCGGCCCTACCTTGGCTTTGCTAAGTTCTGCCCAACCTCCACCCGCCTCTATCTCTTCTCAGCTCCGCTCGGCTCTCGCCTGGCCTGCACAGCTCAGTGCATCTCCTGCATGGAGGAGCCTACCTTAGGCTGAGCCCTGACTCCGAGGGAATCCGTGCCACCTCCTAGCCTGGAGCTAGGACTCTTAACTGGAACTAAGGTTGTTCATTTGAGTTTCTGTTGTCCACATTCCTAAGCTGAAAGAACAAAGACCATCTTCCCCAGAGGCCATAGTTCTCTCTGAAAGGGGCCCAAAGATGTGGCCTCTGGGTAAGCGGAGAGCCAGCTGAGCTGAGGGGAAGCAGTTCTCATTACCAGTAAGTCAACACAGGTGTGCATTAATCGCTGCCAGGCAGGTGACGGTTTGTTTTCCTTTCCCTTCACAATCATCCTCTTTATTCACCTCAGCTCAGATCTAAGCCCTCATCCCAGAGTGGATCAAGGAGGAAATGTCACCTGGCACTTGTTAGGTATTAAGTTTCCTTATCAATAACCGCCTGCCCGCCCAGTTCATCCTGGCCTCGGGCACCTGCAAGGCCATAAAAGACTGTTAGAAAGAGCCACGGCCTGGAGCTGGACTGTTGCTGAGGGCCGGTAGCCGGCTCGCGCTCGGGTGCACACCACATCAAAGCAAACTGCTTCTAAGTAGCAAATACGGCCATAAAAACCCATGAAAGGCCTTGTTAGCTTTGCTACAGCAGCAGGCTGCTCCATGTCAGGTGCAGACACCAGTGAGGACTCTCCAGGAGACACGTGTCCGTGGAGGAGGAGAGGAGCAGTGACCTGGGTTGGAGGTTGGGGAGAGATCCGGAGGAGGCCTCCCCTGCAGACAGACCTGTGAGGTGACTCAAGGCTAAAGCATGGGCCTTCAAGGAGAGTGACGGGGTCTCTGATCTGCATCTAGATCAGGCACTGGGACCATGCACACCATCTTGGGCCAGTATCTAGCCATAGTTGACACTGTAATAGCCACAGGCCAGGCTCCAGTCACCTGTGAATGTGACCAAGTGTGGATGGGTGCGTGGAGATGTGCATATGTACACAAGGATCATGTAAGCACACACATACATGCAGAGAGATTTGTGTGCATCCTTGTGTGAAGGGTGCGTGCATGTGTGCTTGTGTATCTGTGTGCATTTTGAGTACTCCTATGCTCAGGGATATCCATAAACATACACGGCACCCCAAAGGTGTTATGCCTGATCTGACCGTTGGTTCTAGAATCTTCCTGTCCTTTTTTGCAGCGTGTATCTTCCCAGCACTGACCAAGGAGAGTTTCAAAGGAATCTGTCTGTCCCCACACCCTTTCCAGGGAGACAGGTAAATTCAGACAGACATTTTCTCTTTCAGGTAGCCATTCCTCATCGCCCCCTTCTCCTAACCCACCGGGAGTGCTTGTCCAGCCTGGGAACATCCAGCCGGAGTGGCCTAGCGACAGTACGAGTCTTTTCAGAACTGACGAAGGGGGGAAGCAAGCCTTTTACTGTGGCCACAAGTACTTGTAAAGAAGCAGAGAACCTTCTAGGCTCTCAGCACCTGGGGCTGTAATTATCCAGCTCCATGGCTACTGCGGGAATCAGTTCCCCCACTGAGGGTTGCAGAGACCTGAGCACACCTGTCCTGAGACCCCAGTGCCATCTGGTGGTTCATAGCGGCTCCTGCAGATGACCAGGTGCTTGCCATCAGAGGGAACACCCCCAAAGTCGCCCCCACATACCCACCTCTTGTTATGAACTGAGTTGTGTCACCCGAGATGACACGTCGAGATCCCAACTCCCAGTTCTTGTGAAGGTGAGCTTAGTTAAGAATAGGACCTCAGCTGACGTAGGGTTAAAATGAAGTTATACTGGAGCCAGAATCAGGCGAGGGGACCTGAAGGGAAGACACCAAATAGAGCACTTGTGTTCACTTCTTGAAGGTTGACTCTGCTCTCAGGTCTAGAAAATTATGAATACATTCAAATCATCTACCCATCCTGGCCACAGGAGGCTTCCAGTACATGTACCAAAGCTCTGGAGGGGGTCCTGCAGTGATGTATCTTGTTCTAACACTCAGGTAACAGGGACATTGTCCAGACACGGAGATGTTCAGTAGGTACTTGCATCCAGCCCTAGAGAACCTCATGTCTTCTGCTCTGTCCACTTGTTCGGATTTTCTGGGCCAGAACCATGTTGACCGAGTGTGGCTTCTGCCTCTTTGTTTTGCCAATGACAGAAAGGTCAGACACACTTGCATTTTCTAACCAAAGTATTCATTATACGCCAGTTTTGCAAAATAACAATTCATCTGTGTGGCATTTGTCTAAGTCACAAAACCCTGAATGACTGACCTCCAAAAACCAAGGAGGACGATGGGGCCCTTGAACCTTGCTGTCCAACCCGCCCATGCCCAGCAGAACTCCAAGACCCAGCAACAGTCTGCCAAGGATATCTCAAAAACCTGCCCTGAGCTCCTGTACCTGGCCCCTCCAGTCCTTCATCTCTGACTCTACCTGTGGCAAAGTAGACAGACAGCTCCTCCCCAAGAAGGTGGGCCTCCCTGTAGCTTCGAAAACAGGATTTGAACTGAGTGAGGAGAGCCTGCAGGGTCTGCTCCTGCCGTGTATGTCAACAGGCTAGGAGCTCCTTTTCTGTCTCCCACAGGAAGGCCACCTCTGAACCGAGCCAGCCTCTGGAGGACCTCACCCTGCATGGGTCAAGAGTGCCCCCTGGTGGCACTACTGCTCAAGCTGGTCATTTCAAGAGCAAGCGGTTGAAGGTCTCTCCAATCAACTGCAGCTCCTGGTGGCCATGGCCCTACTTCTGAGCAACACAGCACAAACCACCAACCCGCCTCCTAGCAACAATGAGAAAATCCAGTAGTCGTCATGATCAGTACGGCATCTCCAGACATAAGGCAGCCCTGGGCTCACTGCTTCATTGCTCCTTGTACCAAACATATATTGCCGTAAAAATACATGTCATGGGGTCATACATACATTTCAATTAACTTCTGCAGCATAGAATCCTCTTAGATAGAAGCTCACTAGAACTCGTGACGAGGGGTGTAGTTTTGGGCAAGGATTCCGTGTGAACACCTCCAGCACTTGTCACACCTGCTGTCCTGTTTAGCATAGGATGGGGTCAGCAAGCTGTAGGGAGACAGGAATACCACCTGCTGTTGTTGTTTTGTCCTTTGGGGGCCCGCCACCCAGCTCCCAAATAATTCACACACACAGAGAACTATTCTTCACTGTGAATGTTCGGCCTTTGCTTGGCTTGTTTCTTGCCAGCTTTCCTTAAATGATCCCATCTACCTTTGGCCTCTGGGCTTTTCCCGTTCTCTTACTTCTGTAAATCTTACTCTTACTCCATGGCTTGCTGTGTGGCTGTGTGGCTGGCCCCCGGAGGAGTTCTCCTCTTTCTCAGCTACATCTTCTCTCTCATTCTTTCTCCACAGATTTCACACTCTATGTATCCTCTCTGCCTTCCATCCCCACCTATTTCTCTCTCCTGCCTCACTATTGGCTGTTTAGTGGCCTCACTCACAGGAGGCTCTCTCCTGCCTCACCATTTATTAGACCATCAGGTGTTTTAGACAGGCACAATAATACAGCTTCACAGAGTTAAACAAATGCAACATTAAACAAAAGTAACACACCTTAAAATAATATTCTACAACAATCTGCCTTTTCAGAAAAAGCCTGCCCTTCAGAGTTTGAACCAGCAGCCCTGAATGTCTGGGTTTAAGCAGTGTCATGAGTAACACTGCAGAGCTGGTCAGTAAACTGCGCCCTCGGATCTTAACATCATCTCAGCTCTTCCGCAGGGACAGGGCAGCTGGTTCCTGTGTGGCTGGCACTATGGAGTGCAGGACACTCACGTAAGGAAAGGTGAGATTTACTAACAGGCAATATGGAGTCAGCATTACAGATTGTCCCAGTGAGTAACAAGATGAGGGTGGTAGCCACACAGATGGATCATGTGGGACAGCAGGGTGGTAGGACCTGGCTGCCTGGACATTCTTCAGGGTCCATAGATGGGAGGTGCCTGCAAAGTGGAAAGACTAAGGCCCAGGGCTACTGTGGGCTACAAAGGAGACGGTGAGCAGTTGTGGCTCACTTCCAGTTGGCTTGTGCACTTTAGAAGCTCAGGTCAGTGTCCTAAGAGCCAATCATACCACCCCGGCCTTGCACCTCTTCCCTGGGGCTCTTCCTTTCTCCCAAGTCGAGGCTTTGCCAGAAAATGCCAGTGGATCTGTAAGCAGGAAGAGAGAAAGGGGGGGTCTGGGGTTATCCCAGCATGGCAATGCAAATAAGTAAATGAAAGAGAGAGAGAGAGAGAGAGAGAGAGAGAGAGAGAGAGAGAGAGAGAGAGAGCACTTTAGGGACGCCCGTGTGTGAATTAGAAATGAAGAGCCTTGAGTCGCTCCTGCTGTACCAGCTCTCCTTTACAATACAGAGCACGGGTAGGAGAAGGACAATGAAAACACTTCACGTCTGCCTAAGGAGGAGTTAGGGTAAGCCGTCACTGCTAACCAAGGGTCATGGGGCTCTCTGCGTTCTCTCTCTGCCAGCTTCCTTCTGAAGCCATTCATCACTCAGACTCCGCACTCTTCACACACTGACACGGCTTTTGCCAGAATCTTGAAAAAAACCCAAAACTTAGAAATGGAGTCACAAAGGACTCTGAGCCTCACCATGAGCCAGCAAGTCTGCAAGTCATTTTCCAGATGAAAAATAAAAACAGCAATACTGCTTTGAGTGGCAATGGAATTTGACTATAAATACAGCCTTAGTGAGACCAGGTTTTCACCTAGGGCTCCAAGCAAGAAGTGGACTTCTGTCTGCCCGGTGTGTGGTTAATCCTGCCTCCCTCCAAGGGAAAGGCACTAAGGACACTGAAGAGCTGTTTCCATTGCTCAGGCCTGGCCCCATTTATCATTGCCAGTGATGGTTCCTTGTTTGTGCTGGAAGACGCGGGGTTAGATGTCAGCATCCATCGTAGAGGTGGTTAAAGCAAAGCAGCGAGATCATCCATCACACAGCGGGAAAGGCATCCAGCCAAGAGCCAGCGTCCACTCCCAGCGAGTCTGCCTTCCCCTGGGAGCTTATGCTACAGCAGACCTCACCTGGGCTCACAGCCAGGAGCCAGTGGGGCGGTGCTGGGGAGGGTGTGTGATAGAATGCAGGGCCATCCATAGTGGCAGCACATTTGGAACAACTAGGGGGCATTTTAAAGTCCTGATGGCCGGGCACAATGGGAGCGCGTTAGTACAAAGCCCAGGTGCGACCCCATGCATCAGGCGTTTACAGCTCTCCAGTGGTTGTCTGGTTATCTGTGCACTGAGGCCTGGGACCGCTGGAGTTGGAAACAGCCCTGATCCCTGGCTGTTCTTTAAGGAGTCAGTTTACAATGCAGAGGCCTGAGTCCTAAAGCTCCGTGTTCCAGAGTCTCCCAGGCAGTGTCCAGTATAAGACACCAGGTACAAGCATTTCTGTGCACACCCTCCCCACACACCTAGCTTTTAGATCAGTGAAGGCTCTTTGTCAACAGGAAATCTCAGACGTCATTGCTTACTTTATTTTTGAGACAAGGTCTCTCCCCGGCCTGGACCACACCTGTTAGGTGAGGCTAGCAGGCCAGCACAACCAAAAGATCCGTCTTTTCTCTTCTTTTCCAGCGCTGGGATTCCAGGTGAGCACCCCAGCTCCCAACTTCTTTACTTGGGTCCTAGGGATCAAACTCAGGTCCTCCTGCCTACACTTCAATCTCTTTACTGACTGAGCTCTCTCCCCAGCCAGTGGAGTGAAACTTTACTCTTAAAATAATGTTTATAGGACAGTGCTGTGATATCCTTCAAATGTCAAAATCGACTTCTTGCATCAACAGAAGAGACACATGAGCTGTGAAGCAAACAGAGTCAATGTGGAAACCATGAAGTCCCAGGCCCCAGGATGGCCAAGTGATGTAGAGCCAACAACAATGATAGTCATGCCCAAATGGCCTTCCAGAGTTTATCGTGGTAGTTTCTACGCAAATGAAATGAGGATACAATTTCATGGCCAGCTTTGTGCTGCTAACGATGGTCACTGTCATCGGAAACATCCATCTCTCCAGTGGTTGCACATGAACCCTAGGAATCAAGCCACATTCCCACATCCAAGTAAGAAAATGAATGATTAAAGGAATGAAGGGGTGAATTAATGAATTAATGAGTGAGTGAATCAGCCCCAGTGTACTCGAATGACTGAACTGTAGGGGACACAGAGGTCCTTGTGCTCAAACATCAGCACCAGAGGAACTTGGAATGTTTAGCACACTGTTCTTCCTTCAAGGGAAGGAATGCAAGACCTGTTATCTGCCCAGAAGGCTGGAAGCGGACATGCTCTCTAGCCTGGTGACCTTTGTACTATCTGTGTGGCCAGAGACCACCCTGGACCCTCCCCCAGACCCTTATCATAAGCTTGTTTTTCTCAGTCTATAGAACCCATCTTTATGGAAGATGTCTCACGTACTTTACAAAGAGTTTCGATGGAGTCAAGTCCAATCTTTACCTAGCTTACTTTGTTCCTCAAAAGAGATTTATGCATGCTTTGTTGTCTGCATGGGATTCAGTTAATATCACCAGAGAGTTTTCCCCAAATTGTGTTGTGCTTAAATATGCCTAAAATAAACCACTCGGGGTCAGACTCCCTGAGCTTGAACCAGCACTGGCTACTGAATAGTGTTGAGCCAAACTGCCTTCCTGTCTTTCCAGGATTTCTCTCTGCTCCCCATGAAGGTCACACACACACACACACACACACACACACACACACACACACACACACACACGGCATTGAATGCATGTGTGATTAGATGAATGAAAATCAATGAGTGAACTAATAAATGAATAAATGTTTAAATGTATGATTGATTGAGTGAACATATGACTATCTGAATATCTGAGTTAATGAATGTGGAGAGGGTGAGTGAATGAATGAATGAATGAATGAATGAATGAATGAATGAAAACATAGGAGCTTAAATACGTGAGTGTCTGAATGCCTGAGTGAATGAGACCTGGTAAGGGATGAAGAGGGCATTGGTTGTGGCTTCCTAGAGCTACTGATTGGGTACAAATCCCCCAGCCCATGTGCCAGCCCCTGAGGCCAGCGGCTCCTGCTGGCAAGCTGCTGTGCTGCTGTGAAGGAGTTATGTTTCCAGTTGACACTGAGCACCAGAGCTGAGTGGTGACTGTCCACCTGCCCTGCTGAGGTTACCTGAGAGTATGGACTGCAAACTTGCCCAAAGTGTCAACAAACAACTAGACATTCCTCAGAACAGGAATGAGCTTTGGGCTACAAAGAGAGCAGCCTCCAACTGCAGGTGCCGTGGAGGATGGCTGGAAAAACCACCTTTCCCAGGTATCACATGTGGCATGTCTGAAATTCTAAAGGAGTCCTGTGAAAAGCAAATGAGAGTACTTCCTCAGAGGAGCATGGGGTGTGCCTACCTGAGCAATACGCAGCTGCTGTGCTTGGGGGTGCTGAAGGCAGAGACTTTGCCTCTGCGCCTGTGGATACACCGTCCCAGAACCAGCTGCCCCTTTCCAGGACTTGGTAAGGCTATTGCATCCCACGCAGGGTGTCCTGACGTCAAGGAATCAATTCCCTCTGGCCCTTCTGGAGACAGGTCTAAAAATAGCACAGGGGCCCTGTTGAAATGGTCCACAAGACTACTCAAGACTCACAAGGTACATCCAACCTGCAGCCTATGTGGGACACATGGCCACATTTACCATGGTATAAACTATGACTCTTAGCCTAACACAAAACCAAAACTTACCTACATATGTTTTGTGTTTTGTTTTGTTTTGTTTTTTGTAATGCTACAATTCTCTAGTTGTGAAGTTCTCTATGTGAAGTTTATGAATGACTTCTGTCACGATGTCAAAAGATTGGATAGTCCTGGATAATATATGTCATCACTTAAGCATTCCACTTTCCTTAGTGAGTAATCCAACAGGCTCGTCTCTTGGTGCAGGGCACATCTAAAGCTTGAGAGTGATGAGGGTAGAGTCTACGTGTGGCCTAGAGTCAGGTGTGGCTCATCATGCCCGACTGCTCTGAACAGCGTTTGTAGCTATCTGGGGACCAGTCTCCAGGCCAGAATGATATCTCTTTGGTAGTCAAGATTCTCTTTACCATGAATGTGAATAACCTCCGCAGCACAGAGAACCCAGGTAATGGAATTTGAGGAATTTCACAGAAGCTTGAGAATGCAGAATCTAATTCACGAGACATTGTAAAGCTCTCCCTCCATGGACCACACATTCTGGGGCCGATTGTTAACTAACTCTTCCTAGCCACACATTCCAGGGCCGAATGCTAACTGTCTTCCTAGCCCTTGGTTGCCCACAGGGCTGGAGCTGCTAAGGTCACTGCAAAGGAAATTCCTTCTCCCTGTCCTGCTTCTGAGTATGTCTTCCGGTCTCCAGGTCAAGCCAGAAGAAAGAAAACACTGCCTCTCATCATGAGCCTAGTCTTCCTGCCTGAAAGCACCCACAGCAGCTCCGTGGAAGATGGCCTGTACTCCAAATAACATACACAGGACTCAAAAGCAGCTGGCCAAGTCCACAGCACCACCACCCAGTAACCCTAGACACGATTCCTATTAGCTCAGCCCAGGGAAGATTCCTCTCCTGCCTCTTCCCCTCCACAGTTCCCACCATGATCCACATGCAGGCTTTCAGGGCCAGCTACCACAGCGACCTGCTAACTGAAGCTGCTTCTCAAGGCCATCTCCTGGAGCTCTCTGTAAAGTCTGAGTCAGTGCCCCAGCCAAAGCTGCTCTGGTCCCTTCCCAGACTGACAACATTGCAGAGGATTTATCTGCGTTCATCTTCTGCTTATCAGAGACTCATTTGCTCCCCTAGTGGATGGTGCTTATGTTGTTCTAATCATTCCAATAAACATAACAGGGGTGAGCATTCTTGTTCCTAGAGGAATGTTATCTCACCCCCC